CACATTATGGTTTGTAGTTGGAGTTCCGAGGTTTCAGCTGATGTTTTGATCATTCACGAATATATCAAACATCTTATCGAGTCACAACCATGGTTAGCTCGGCCCTCGTTTACCCCCGAGTATTGGAAGTGCAACGAATCCGAGAATGTTGTCAAACAGCACGAAAAAAAAAAGGATGATGACATCAAGTCGTACAAAGAAATCCGCGGTAAGAACAAACGAAAGAAACCCGAGGATTCGAACACCGAGAATGAAGATAGAAACTGTCCAGTGTCAAGAAGCAACAGCGAGTTCGAACTTTGCAAGAGAAGCAGAATACCATCAGACAGTACGCAAGAGTTTCCTACATATGATTCGCATAATCTTAATGGACATTCTTGGGCTTATGTGAGCCTGCAAAATTGCAAGCGATCTTTGAGTTTTGATTCACCGAGTACGGGTGAACTGATTACAAAAAACATCACTCCCTATACTCGGTCATCATCAGAAAATACTCATTATTCTTTTAATGAACAATCATCTTCATCTACATCAAATGATAAATTGTCATTTTCCACAAAATACGGAGAATCATTATCGAACGTGACAAATCTCAACATTTTTAACTTCGAACAAACTATATACAATCCTCACTTTAATCATTTATTATGGGATCAAGGACTTGTTGATCGCCTTTCAGATAATGGGTGGTTCGACGACTTAGTTTATTCCTTGGGCATGAAATCCAAGTCACTCTTGAAGGAAGATGCTCTCTGGAATGCACAAAATTTCGAATTGCTTAGTCAATCTACGGAAGATGATACATCTCTCACTGTGTTGTTTTTCCCCAATCACCTCGCAGGTTCACTGAATGACATAATCAAGATGCTTAAGATCAAAGGTATCACTTGTGATATGAAGAAAATCGAGATGGGAGCAAGACTGACGAAAAAGGCACCAAGTGGTCACACCCACAACCTTAAGAATTGTAAATCGAAGAAGGGTAAAGGAGCAGAGAGGACGAAGTCCACTGCATCCACTATATCTTCGACTCGAACTCTGTACCTCCTCTACCCTCAAAATCCCGAGTGTGATGTAACAAAGTTTCATTCAAGGTCCGTTCAACTGTTCCTTAAGAAATTTCCTGGTATCAACAAAGTCCATGTTTGGGAAACTCGTGAAAACTGCATCATGAATTTTGAAAAGCTATTCTCCAAGCTTCGATCTGAGCGAGAATTAGAAGCAAAATTGCATCGAACGAACGTTCACTACCAGTGTTACATGAATCCAGTTAAAGAATGGAGCATAATGAATTTTGTTGTATTCAATTACAACAATAAAATTGATTCGATTTATAAAACGTTAAGGGAATCCAATATTTCGGAAGAAAAAGTGGACGACGGCATGAATTATGAAGAAATATCCTTATTTATAAAAGTACAACATTCAATAGTATATTTCGACGAGGATGTTGTTGAAAAATTGGCAAAGTTATATTCCCCACCAACCTCCACCATATTCGAATATAACTGGGAAATTAAGTGCCCCTATGTGTTGATCCAATCAGGCTCTCATTTGGTTGCATTAAATAAGTTTCATGATTATTTAGAAAATTATGTAACACCGTGCGGGAGAATTAATTCTGTTGTGCTAATGCATATTGTAGCTAAGGCGGTGATTCAAGGCAGATATTACGGATTTAAGGTGAAAACACCTTGTTTCGACGATTGTCCGTATTTGGATAATTATAATACGCTTCCTGTACACTTTGCGGAGACCGATAACAACAAAGAGCGACCATTCATTTTAATGATGGCCTACGACAAGAACATGGTTGAGTGGTCAATTGAGAAACT